GCCTTTTTTACCCTCCGATAATCCAATGCTCTTATTGGACGTATGATCATAGTGCCTCTTGAGAGAATTGTGTGTTGGCGATAGGGTCTAAGCTTCAAGTAAACCCAATCACCTAGTTTGAATCGTTCCTCTCTTCTTCATTTATCATAGTACTCCTTCATTCGATTGATCGATCCATACAAATTTCCTTTGAGCTCCCGAATCATATAATCTTGTTCCATGAGCTCACGATCCACCTCATCATTCGGTGATTTTCCCATCGGATAACTAACCAATAATGGTGCCTTCCGTCCATACACCAACTCGAAAGGAGTGAATTTGGTCGATGCATGGTACATTGTATTATACCAAAATTCAGCTCACGGTAGAAATCCTTCCCATTTTCTCGGAAATTCATGAACATAGCATCAAGAATATTGTTCGAGAATACGATTGGTTACCTCGGTTTGCCCGTCCGTTTGAGGATGATAAGCTGAGGTCATAGCCAACTCAATAACCCTGCATTTTGAAAAACTTCTTCCAGAAACTACTCATGAATATCCGATCCCTATCTGATACAATGGACCGGGGCATCCCATGCAACTTCATCACATAATCAATAAGGAACTTAGCTATGGATTTAGCCGTATATGGATGAGTAATAGGAATGAAATGTGCATACTTGGTAAGACGATCCACGACCACCATGATCCCGTTGAACCCATTAGACATTGGAAGCCCTTCTATGAAGTCCATTGTTATATCTTCCTAAATTCTCTCGGGTACCGGCAAAGGTTGTAAAAGTCCTCCCAGTTTTATGGAATCCGACTTCACTCTTTGGCAAACTTCACACTTTGTTACGAACTCCCGAACGTCATTCTTTACCCCCGGCCAAAAAAAAAAATAATTTAAAAGCCTTGACCACGTACGGTACACTCCCGAGTGTCCCCCAATCTTGGCTTCGTGGAAATATTGCACCAGCTCAAGTCTCAAATGATCGGTTTTCGGTACATACCCGACCTTTATATAGTAACAAGCTGCCATAGACATCATAATCTTGGACCTCCTCCTCTTGAGCTTCCATTTTCCTACGAACATCATTACAAAAGGCATCTTGAGCATTTGCCTCTCGTAGTTATCCCATATAGCCCATGTCGGTCCTGAAATGGCTTGAAGTTCTGCCACGTCAGTCCGGCGAGATAACGCATCCGCCACTGCGTTTTGTCGGCATGGTCTATAACAAATCTCAAAGTCAAATCTCATGAGCTTTGACACAAACTTTTGTTGCTCGGGAGTCACTATTCGTTGCTCCAACAAATGCTAAGTGGTTGTTGGTCCGTCACAATTTGAAAATGTCGGCCCAAAAGGTAAGGCATCCAAACCCGGACCGCTTCTACCACAGCTAACAATTCTTTTACGTAGACCGACCATCCTACTCGTACACCCCCCAATGCCTTACTCATATAAGCAATGGGTTGATCTTCTTGTGTAAGGACGGCTCCAATCCCCACATTACTAGCATCCGTATGGACTTCAAACATCACCTCAAAATTAGGCATGGCTAATACCGGAGTTGTTGACATAGCCCCCTTGAGTTTTTCCAACGCCTTCTCACTACTAGTCGACCATTTGAATCCTCCTTTTTTTGTCATCTTCGTCAATGGCTTAGCAATCGATCCAAAGTCTTTGACAAATTTTCGATAATATCCAGTCAGCCCCAAAAACCCACGTAGTTCCTTCAAATTCTTCGGTTTAGGCCAATCGAGCATCGCCTCAATTTTCTTGGAATCCACTCTAACTCCTTCAAAAGATATGGTGTGGCCCAAATACTCCACCGATTCTTGGCCAAAAGAACACTTCGAAGGTTTTATCTAAAAATCATTCTCCTTCAAAATATTCAAGACCACCTTCAAATGCATCACATGTTCTTCGCAATTCTTCGAATACACCAATATATCATCAAGAACACCAACACAAATTTTCGCAAGTAACCTTGAAATATCAAATTCATAGCAAACTGAAAAGTGGATGGTGCGTTACATAAACCAAAAGGCATTACCAAATATTCATAGTGCCCTTGATGAGTCCGAAATGTCGTCTTGTGGATATCCTCTTCTGCCACCCTTATCTGATGGTATTCAGCTCGTAAATCTAACTTGGAAAAATAACAGGATCCCACCAACTCGTCCAACATGTCATCAATGCTTGGAATTATAAAATGATCTTTTATGGTAGCCGCATTGAGAGCCCGGTAATTCGTACAAAAACTCCACGTCCCATCCTTTTTCTTGGCAAGGAGTACTGGTGAAGAAAAAGAACTCGTACTATGCCTGATTAATCCGGACTCAAGCATTTTACGAACTTGTTTCTCAATCTCGGTTTTCTGAAAATGGGCATACCGATAAGGATGTACATGTACGGCTTTGGTTTCATCCAACAAGGGAATGCGATAGTCGAACTCTCTCCGTGGTGGTAGATTTTTTGGATCCGCTTTCACCTCCTTGAATTGTTGAAGTAACTCGTCAGTCTTCCCTCTATGTATGTGTTCCACATCAACACCTTCAGTTTATCAACTCTAATGGCGAAGATTTGACTACCTTGCCTCCACAATTTCCCCAAACTTTGAGCACTCACCTCCTTTGTTTCCTCCTTCCCTCCGGTTGATAACTTAACCATTCCATCACCCCAACGAAATTCCATTGTTCCCACCCTATAGTCCGTAGTCACCAGACCCAATCCTTCCAACCATTGAACCCCCAAAACCACGTCCGGACCTACCAAAGGTAGCACATACAAGTCGGCCTTTAAAGTGACCCCTTGCATTTTTATAGGCACACCCCGGTAAAACTCCGAGCATTTGAACCTTTCTCCAGTAGCAACCCTCACATCAAACGGCTCAACTTGTGTGACATGCAAGTTTAACTTATCGGACAATGATGATTTAATAAAATTATGAGACGAACCATTGTCGATTAGCACAATTACACGTCGATCGCGAACCCAATCTGGCATCTTCATTGTCTTAGGTCCTTGAGTTCCCGCCATTACATGGACCTATATCTCTGGGTCCTCCTCGTGAGAATCGATTACACTCTTCAATTCATCCACCACTATTTCATCTTCTTCGGACTCAATGCGTTCAATGAAGAACGATCGCCTTTCTTTGCACCGATGACCCGGTGTGAATTTCTCATCACAATTAAAGCACAAACCTTTCTCCCTCCGTTTTTGCATCTCTTCCCAGGACAAACGTTTAATCCCCGATGAAAGATCCTTTTCATTTCCGATTGCTGTATTGGCTCCCTTTTTTGAACATTAGAAGGAAAAGTTATCGGTCGCCTCACTGCTGGTCGAATGACCCTCCGTAGTGCCATCAAGTGATCATCAAGCATCCTAGAGGCTTCCATGGCAGCACGCATGGTTCTTGGTTTATCTAACCTCATTAGGTTCGGATTACTTTAAATATGTTGATTTATTTATGATCATTTTAGATGTATTAATTGTATTTTAATATCATTTCCTATTATAACCATTAAATTGTATATGTATTCTAAAAGTTTATAACTTTTGTATTTCTTATCGGTTTTACATATATAATATATCAAATTAATCGTCTTTTGATGAGCTTCGATTTGACATCCATGTTGTATATATAAAATAAAACAATTATATTATCTTTATAATAATAATAAAATTATTTATTAAAATTAATTAAAAAATAAAATTATTTTTCAATTTATATATTTATGTTTAATGTTGTTATATGTTATAAGTTAAAAAATTATTATAATATAACACATGAAAGTCGCACAAGTAACAAGTGTCATAATAAAATATATAATAGATATATGTACTTTTATAAAAACTATTTAAATTTTCAACCATTTTTTTCTCATTAATTTTAAATTTTAAGAATAAAATTTAGCAAGCACCCGTGTAATACACGGGTGTTGTACTAGTATAGCATTAATATTTTTTTATATTTTTTAGTTCGAACGAACAAATTTTGAGTTAATCAAACATATTTAAAAAGTTTATATATTGAACTATTCGAATACGAATGAACTCGAGCTTTGACGAACAATTAAACGAACGAGCTCGAACATGATTTTTTGCTCGAAAAATAAACGAACGAACACGAACATTGTTTCGAACGTAAACGAACACGAACTAATATGTGCCCAACTAATTAATGATCATGTGTTCGAGCATAATCAAACGAAAGTACAAAATGTTCAAGCTCGGTTCGTTCGACAACACTCAAGGTTAATCACTACAACCTTAATGTATAATATAAGGAAAAAAAAAAAAAAAATCTCACTCGTTTTTTTTTTCTTTTTTTTTTTTTATTTAATCACAAAACAAAAATATTAATAAATTGTCTTCAAAATATATGGAACTGACAAATTGTCTCATCTACTAAAACCCTAAATTGACACAAAAAAGAAAGTTTTTAATTTTCTATTAATTAACGATGAATTCTGTATTGATCTTTAGATTTGAGTTAGGACTTTTGAGTTGGAAATAGATTTTATTTGGTTTTCACTTCCGGATTTTTTAGGTCAAAATCCAACTCAATATTAATTCTAACTTCAAATTACAAGGGAGAGTACTTCAGGCAATCGCTAGTTTTCATTAAAAAAAAAAAAGTACAGAGAAGTTATGACACAAGGAGTACAACCTTTGAAGCGCTTTGATATGATGTACTCAACCCAATTGCCCTAAGTAAAGGATCAAATTGAATAACAAATATTACAAATGGATAGGCTACCAAACCCTAACCATGGATGATCAACCTTGAGCCTAGCACATCGTAAAGAAGAACAGAAAAGCAAGAGACAGAGAGATTTGCAGAAGATTATACATATAAACAGCAGTTAATCGACTACCACACGAAGATTGTATTTGTTGTCATTGATATGGCCCAGAATTTCTGCAGAAACAGCAACTGAGTGACCAATGTGAAGCAAAATCAACGTTCGTCGATTAATATATTTGCAAGACTGCAAATAGGTAATTGTTTAGCCTATTACAGCTACCAAGCTTTGTCTGACAACTGGAACGGAGCAAATCACAGAACCGAAAATCCCAGTCAGTGCATACGCAATTGCACAAAATGGAAGAGCCTCAGGTTCTTTTGCCGATAATGCAGCTGTACCTAACCCATGCGCGCTGAAAATTAGGACAGGAAAAATCTTAAAGAAAGCCTCGGGATGGATTACTGTAATTCTTAAGCTTTTATACGAGAATGTTATATGTAGCTTGTCCCACAAAATCAAAGAAAAGGAGCTACAAGGAGAATGTCACGTAGTTTTGCTGGTGTGGTATAAGTGCATGTAAAAATTCTAATGGGTTAGAGTTTATTTTATTGAATAATTTACAGAACTACCACGAATATTTGACCTACTAAAAGCTAACAATAACATTTCTCTTGCTAATATGCCTTAAGCTATTGTTAACACAACCTCAAAACTTGACTTTTCTGAGCGAATAACCGCCACTAAGAGTGCAATTCATAATAAAAAAACAGATATACATGACGCGACTGTATTGTTTGAGAAAATACAGGATTTTGTAGTTAGGCCATACCTCAAGCATATTTCTTGGTATTGACCTTGATTTTCTACTTGCTTTTGCAAAAGTTCTATAACATTTTGGATTTTCATACCTTGATGCAGTTGCTATTCCACGAGCAATAGGATCACGAAATCCTAATTTGTCGAGAGCCGTCTGAACAAAATTGGCCCCAACTAGTCCAGTTACCACAACAACGGCCGCTGTAAGAGATGAATTGGCACCTAATGGGGAAAAACAATAAAGGCATTATTCCAAACCAACTACCAAATTTTGATGATTTGATTTTTGTTAGACTTGTGAATTCAGTTTTATTTATCCTATCAAATAGGGTGTGAAAGCTATAGACTGAATGAGTCGTCAACCTTCAAAGAAAGATACTATGCTGAGAGCAAGAGCCACAGTTATGCATCTGGGTAAAATTGATACGGTCAATGATGGTTCGAGACCAACAAGACGGCCAACTAAAGCAGTTGAGTACAAAGAGAACAACGTGGATAGGATCACAGAGGTGAATATCTCAGCAGCATGTCTCTTCACCAGCTGAAAGATATAACTAACTGATTATTGCAGGATAAAGTTGTAATATTGCAGGATAAAGTTGTAATATAAGCTGCATAATGCATGGCTAGTTTTTTTTATTTGGCTTCATGGAATATTTTTCTTTCAGCTAGTTTTCCTGAGAGTGGAGACTACTATCATCTTGTTTAGGTAACTAGTTTCAAAATAGATGGGATTGGAAAACATTTAATTACCTTTCTCTGTTGAAACATTGAGAAGGCGAACGAGAGAATAACCGATCCAAGAAATCCCATCAAAATGTCACCAGCTCCAGGATTCGATGAGATCTTTGTGAGATAGTATCCTGTAAATAGTAATTTTCAAATTGGCATCACATCATGCCGAAAATGGAAGCATCGCCGTTACGTTTTTTAAGAATCAATAGTAAAATGTATATCGTGTTTTCCTCGCATTTAAATGTCCAGTCTGTTTCCCAGGTTATGCTATCTAAACTTCACTTTCCAATTGTTATGAAAAAGAAATGAAGATCATGCCAGTGGATATCATATTACACCTATACTTGCTACTACAACGAAACTTCGTTTATTTCACCACTCTATTAGTCAAAAACTATACCAGTGTCATTTCATAATAATAATTGGGTTAATTACGGAAATTGACACTAAAATTTAGTCCAGATACAGAGAGAATATCCTGTTTAATGAAATTGCAAATAACCCCATCGCACTGCTGATCTCCCTTCATGTTCCCACTTTCAAAAGGAAAATGCAAACCTCAAGGAATTACTTTTCAATTTAAAAGATAACTGGTTTGTTTCTGCATGGAGCCTAAATCTCAAGAGTAGTCTCTGTACTTATCCCAAATTTATGGGTGTACCTAGAACTGGATCAAGTCCAGACCGCGAAAGTTGCCCATAAGCATATGCTGCCAGATCAGCTGACAATGCGCAGCAAATAATGGGATGAAAGACCATTTTCACACCTGACGGTAGCCTGGAATCCAGAATCGGGTCACATAACAAGTCATAATATAGGATGATAAATTGTATGTGAAGCTAAATCGAACTAGATGGTGGACCTCATAGAAATTCATTTTTCCTTACCGGGAACCAAACATGTAGCCTATTACCGTGGAAGCAAGGAGAAAGGGCAAACACGTCCTAGCATTGGTTCCAAGTACAGTCGGGTAATACAATGCAGATACAAAAGATATTATGAATATACCACTCCAAGACCATAACTCAATCGAAGAAAACGAAGAAGGCTTTGGCATGGGTTCGGCTGGTATCATTTCAGTGTTGACCATCTTTCTCACAGATATGGCTGTAAAACCTGCTGCACATAGTGAAGCCAGCCAACCCCCAACTGCAAGAGAATGAGAAAGCAACATAACAAGCATTTAACGTTCATGAAAGTTCAAATTCTACCATAATATCGTATTATTCTAGATTTCAATACTAGAATCTAAAATAGTACTACATTTAGGGAGTGTTTATGAACAATACAACCACAAACGAAAGTGATTTATCATTGAAAACATGGCAAAGAAGTTTGGAAATTGAAGTTTAGTAGTGTTTGCAAACAAAAGATAAAAGCTAGATAAGTGAAATGCAGGTAATTAGTGAATTAAATAAGTCTGTAAAAAACTTTTCATTTGGTGGTACTTCATCAGAAATAAAAAAAACACATCTACCTCTATTTTGTAATTGCCACTGATTAAATCATAAAGAATCATAAGTACAAGTTGGCATATGATTTCACTAAGGAACTAATAATTAATCCTGCCTTGAGATAATCATTAATCTTTTAAGGTGACTCCTAAAAAAAGGTCCTTTTACATAAGAAAAATCTTCAAGGACAGAATATATACCTATAATGAAAACAATCTTAAGACCTGAGGCAGCTGGAATATCCTTGACTGCAAGAGGCAGAACCACCAAAGACGGCACATAGAACAAAGGCAGCCACCTCTGGATAAAGAGAAGGGCCGGCTGGAAGAAGTTCATCAAGCCAGCCGCGGCAGCCGGGACAGTAGAATCGAGCACCACCAAAATGGTGAATATGCAAAACATCCCGAACAAAGCACTCGGGAACTTGATGGCAGCAGCCACAAAAGCCTTCTTCAGAAACTTGTCCATGGCCAGAATAATTCCCAAAGAAACTACCAAATGCAGCAGCTTACGAACCTGAGACAGAAAATGCGCATACTACGTGTACCCGAGATTCGTTCATACAGTAAAAAAAGCAAACATGTTGTGAGCAATAAATCTTCTATCATCCTTACCGTGCTTTGAAGGCTCGAAGAGGTTGAACTAGCCTCATACGCCGAGGAATTCACAGAAATCAACCTCCCAGAATGAATCTTTTCAGGACCAACCCGCAAAATTGCGAAAGCTGGTCCAGTAATGCGACTCGGGCGCGAAAATTTCCCGCCCTTGTTGTTGGAAGCTACCAGTGACACTTTTGAGAGACATTTTCTGGGTTTGGAGGATGGATTGAGATGAGGGATTCCCAAATGGAGGCGATTGGGAAGAAGAAGGTTTGTAAAGGTTTGTGAGACTGCAGAGATGACCGCCATTGTAGATGGCATAGAGAAGGAGAGAGTGTGGCAGGGGAAGACTTGACATCTCTTGGAAATTTGTGTGGACCTGAGAAGAGTTTTGCTAGAAAATATAAACATATTTATAATATAATATAATAAAATAATATAAATATGATAAATATGCATAGTTTTTAAACTCGGCCCCGAACAAGTCTCTGGGTCAGAGGGTCACCAGTTCAACCGCCGGGTTACCGGGTCAATTGTTGAACCGAATACTTAATTTAAAATTTTTTAAAATTATATGTAGAGTATTTTGTCATATAAATATACCAAAGTTTTTTTATCGCGAACTATCAAATTTCGCGTTTGGCTGATCTGGGCGCTATTGCCGCTATAGCGGCCGCTATAGCGGCGCTATCACCGCGCTATAGCGGCAGCTATACGCCGCAGCGTTGCATTATTGTCCCCACTATAGCGCCGCTATAGTGCGCTATTTTAGTGTAAACAGCTACAACTATAAAAGCAAAGGCATAAAAGCAAATAAGTTCACAAGTCACAATTCAGAACCAGCCTCCAGCCATAAAGTTGATTAAGTTCACAATTCTTAACAAAACAAACAGTCGTGCATGAAGGCATCTAGCACATAAGCATCCACAATTCCACATTAGCAGCCAATGCATCTAGAGCAATGATCTAGTAAGGACTGTATGGTTCAACAGCTACATCCTCAGAACCAGAACCAGATAGCATATCAATATCATTATCATCTTCTCCATCAGAAGATGGAGATGACTCCTCATGCTCAAATGTAGGGATCAGCCGCTTTCTCTTCTTGCTCTTTAAGGTTCTCTTAGTTCTTTCTATGCCTTGAGGTGCAGTTGCAACTCCTTGTGATAATGCTCTAATTTCTTCTTCCTGCTCTAAATCTCCTTATGTTGGCTCAATGCCAGTGCTCGCCCGCATCTGCCGCCGAAAATCCCTACGCGCAGCTGCCGTGGTGAAGTCTCGAATGGACTGCTGCCCTGCTGAATGACTAGGGTTCACTTCAAGCCTTGTTGCCTAATTGGGTTGGGCCACTTTTTTTTGGTAATTACTGGGCCACATTAGTTGTTTTTGGGCCGGCCAACTATAGCGGCGATTTAGCGCGCTATAGCGCCAATAGCGCGTATATCGCAGAAATGCAAGATTGCTTCGCGTTAGTTGGTTTGAGCCGCTATAGCGCGCTATTTGTTTCTTTGAAATATACATAAAAGTAACAAAATTAAATGTTTTGTATATAAAATTTGTACCCTAAAATGTTACAACTAGACATGGCCAAAAACCGGGCTGGGTCACAAGGTTGGGTTTTGACGACCCTGAACCGGCACGGACCTAGGGTCGTGCCAGGTCCATGACCAGCCGGGCCGGGCCGGGCCCAACCCGAGTTTGGACCCGACCACATAAAAAAACTAAAAAAAAAAAGAAAAAATTCAAAAGCAATGTTTTTTTTCCGTGCCGACATGGACCCGGCCCGGACCCGGCTCGGCCCGCCGGGTCAAGGTCGAAAAAAACATGACCCTTGACCGGCCCGTTTGAAATCCGTGTCGGGCCCGAACCCGTGGTCAACAGGTTTGACCGGGCCGGGTCCGTGCTGGGTCCGGGCCGGGTCAGCGGGCCGGGTGACCCGTGGCCATGTCTAGTTACAACAACAACAACAAAGCCTTTTAGTCCCAAACAAGTTGGGGTAGGCTAGAGATGAAACCCAAGAGAAATAGTGGTATGAAACACAAAAAAGGGCTCAAAATAAAACAAAACAGAACAACACAAAACAAAACTCAAAACAAAAACAAAACAAAAGAAATAGATTGGAGCAAAAGAGAAATGAGCAAAAGTCACGGTTCCGGCACGTTGATCGCTAGCCTCTAAGCGCTCCTATACACCGCTAAATCCTTGGAGATATTCCAATTTTAAGGTCTCTCTGAACCGACTCATCCCAAGTGAGTTTAGGCCGACCTATACCTCTCTTAACATCATCGACCCGCTGTAGAACTCCCCTACGCACCGATGCATCAGGAGGCCTCCGTCAGATATGTCCGAACCACCTCAGCCGATGTTGAACCAATTTCTCCTCAATTGGAGCCACGATGACCCTATCTTGAATATCCTCATTCCGAATTCTATCCCTTCTTGTGTGCCCTCAAAACCAACGCAACATGTGCATCTCTGCTACACTTAGTTGTTGGACATGTTGCCTTTTTGTAGGCCAACATTCAACACCGTATAGCATCGCCGGGCGAATCGTCGTCCTATAGAACTTACCTTTTAGCCTTTGTGGCACCCTCTTATCACAGAGAACCCCGAAGCTTGACGCCATTTCAACCAACTGGCTGCAATTCTATGCCTCACATCTTCATCAATGCCGCGATCCTTTTGTAGCATCAATCCTAAATACCGAAAAGTCTCCTTCTTGGCCACCACTTGCCCGTCAAGGCTAACGTCACCATCATCATGAGTAGCCATGCTGAAAGCGCACGTCATGTACTCGGTCTTCGTCCTACTAAGGTTGAAGCCTTTCGACTCTAGCGTGTCCTTCCACAACTCTAACTTCCTATTTACCCCTGCCCTACTCTCGTCAACTAGCACCACATCATCAACAAAGAGCATACACCAAGGGATATCACCTTGTATGTCCCTTGTGGCCTCATCCATCACCAAAGCAAATAAATAAGGGCACAATGCTGACCCCTGGTATAGTCCTATTTTAATTGGGAAGTCGCTGGTATCACCCCCACATGTTCGGACACACGTCATCGCATCCTTGTACATATCCTTGATGAAGGTAATGTACTTAGATGAGACTTTGTGCTTTTCTAAGGCTCACCACATGACATTCCTCGGTACTCTGTTATAAGCTATCTCAAGGTCGATAAAGACCATGTGCAAGTCCTTCTTTTGGTCCCTATATCTCTCCATCAACTGTCGTATTAGGAAAATCGCCTCCATGGTCGACCTTCCAGGCATAAACCCAAATTGGTTTTGGGTCACACTCGTCACTCGTCGTAGGCGATGCTCGATAACCCTCTCCCAGAGCTTAATCGTATGGCTCATCAACTTAATCCCACGGTAGTTACCACAACTTTGAACATCACCCTTGTTCTTGAAAATCGGTATTGAAGTACTTCTTCTCCATTCATCAGACATCTTGTTTGACCGGAAAATGAGGTTAAAAAGCTTAGTTAACCATACTAACGCTCTGGCGCCCAAGCATCTCCACACCTCAAGGGGGATACCATCAGGGCTCATTGCTTTACCTCCCTAAAATGTTAATAATATATATTTAATGATAAATATTTACCATATAAATGTATATATACAGAGTTTTATTTTTTAAAAACAACAAATATTTTAAAATATAAAAAAATAAAAAAATATATATTGGGGTCGGGTTAACCGGGTCAAGCCTGGGTTGGCCGGGTTTTGACCGGGTCCTTTGTTGCTCGGTCCAATTAGTCCACCCAGACTGCTTTCGGTTCCGGGTCGAACCCGCCGGTCCGATCCGGGTCTCAAAACTACCCGAGAACCGGTTCTTCGGTTCTTACTCTTGTTTTGACTTATAAAAAACTGAACCGAGAAAAGTTGTTATATGTCAAGCTGTTATATGCATAACCGAGAACCAGCACCTGTTTTGACTTATAAAAACTGAACCGGAAAAGCTGTTATATGTCAAGCAACTCGGTTTTAAACTCCCAGCCCCTGATCAACAATTCAATGCTGATTTTTGATTCAATACTGATTTTGATTTGATCGGGCAATTTAGCCTCTGCTGTGAACGTCGGCACCGCCGATTCATCCTACCACGGCACCGCCGTTTATTGGCACATTGACGTGACTATGGGTGTGACCTATTGTTCATTAAATGTTACTATTTTTTCATGGTCAGGCTACTGTTACTGTTCCCCCCGTTAAGAGTCCGAAGCTTTACTGCTTTTCAGAACTTCAAGATCGGTGGAGCTTCAGACCATGGAATCACCTGGTGAGCCTATGGGAACCGTTTTAGTATGTTTTATGACGTCTTACTTTGTCGAAAATTGGAAGTTGGATTTTGTCTGTTAAAAAAAAATCATGTTATTGTTTGCAGGCTTCCTTGGAATTGACCCTTTGAGTTTGAAATTTCAGTTTTGGGGATACCTAATAATCAGCTGACTTGTGATAAGTGACTGAGATTAGATAGTGAAAATTTGAAGCTAGTCGAAACTTGACAAACATCTGTTTCTCTTTCTCTTGTATTTTGGGAAGTATCAGATATGATGATCCACAATCTCTACATTTGCCTAAGATACGCTTGTTTTTCTTTGTTTGTCCGTCCCAAATTCTCGTCTGTATAAGGTTCTTATTGTTAATTGTATTTGCACATATAAGTTTGTACCCTGATATGTATGTTTGACATTTTTTTGCAGCTGGTTGTCTAAGAGACACATCTATCGTTGTTGTCACGTTGGACTCAAGTGAAGTGTACATTATAATCAGTTTGTCTACTAGAACTGATACTCAGGTTATCTATATTGATCCAACGACTGGGGCTCTTCGTTATACTGCAAAGCATGGATATGATGTTTTCAAATCCCAAAATGAAGCATTTGATTATATCACCTGTGGGTCAAAATGGCTATGTAAGAGTATGACCCATGCACAAGCTATACTAGGCTATGCAGCCCTTGGCAGCTTTTCCGTTTTGCTGCTAGCGACAAGGTTGGCTGCCAGTATACCAAATTTACCCGGTGGAGGGCGTGTTTTCACTGTTACTGAGAGCCAGTGGATTAAAATTTCGCTTCAGAATCCTCAACCACAGAGCAAAACCGAAATTAAGAATATTCAAGAACTGACTGAGCTTGAAATTGATGGGAAACATTACTTCTGTGAAACTAGGGACATAACTCGACCTTTCCCAAGTCGTATGCCAGTGCATAGTCCTGATGACGAATTTGTTTGGAATAAATGGTTCTCAATGCCTTTCAGGAACATCGGGCTTCCGCAGCACTGTGTCATTCTTCTACAGGTTTTAGGCATCCTTAGTATCTTCACATTTGTACTATTTAAACATTTTATATCTATATTCCTTCTCTGACAACATTTTTGACATTTTCTCATTTATTTATTTACTTTTATCGCCTCCAGCTATTGCTTAGGGTCTGTGGGTTATTTTTTATAGTTTAAATTATTATGTGATATTATTTTTAGCTTTGATTTGCCTCCCAAACTGGGGCCTTGTTGTATCTTATCCTTCATCTGACCGTTGAGATGAAATAGCAGAAATAAAATGAATGCAGGAAACAGAAAATTCTTGACCATCATCTCTCTTTTCATGAGAAATTTCTTTCTATTCATGCTGTTGTTATCGGAAATAAATATGTTGGGATGAAGCATCAGTGTAAATAGATAATCATGCTTTACTTGGATATTGAACGCATCAAACTGCCATGCAAAAAAATCTTTATCTTTGTGAAACCTTGCTAGCTCTTCTCCTGGCTATGCAAATCTCTCCCTGTCTGTGTGCAGTGTGTATGTGTGTGTGCGTGTGTGTGGGTGGGTGG